CTTCAGGTTCTTTGGAGAATAGCTTGACTCCCTCTTTTTTGTGGCAACCCCTGAGATATTGGAACACTGCTATCATGTCACCCCTAGTCCTTCTTTTCGTCAAACTAGACATACCCAGTTCCAACAACCATGCTCCAGCATTAGTCTTCCAAGCTTTCAGACTCACGCTGGATCAAATGAATATTTTTTTTTTCTGAATAATGCTTGAAAGCAGAGGACAGCTAGCCTTTTCTTTCTTATTCACTTAGGAATATAGATGTCTCTCCACTTTCTTTTAATCCATTTCTGTTGGAGGAGTTTTAGAAGCGATGGACCTTATGCGCCAACAGAATGTAATGGACTGGAGCCCAACTGCATTTCTTTCCTGCCATTCAAGCTAGTTGTAGACAGGAACATTGGATGGTATGTCTGTATTCTAAAAGCAACGGAAGGATGGAGGAAAATAACAACTAGGTGGGGGGGAAAGATGAGCAGGAAAAACTGTGAAGGGAGGTTAAATGGAAGCGAGTGTGAAATCAGAAAGCAAATGAAGGGAAGGGGCAAAGGTCTGAAATGTTCTGTCTTCCCTCCAGGAAACATGTTTTGCAGGTCCCAAGAAGCCTAACAGTGTTTATATTTGCTATTAATGATACTCAAGGCATGCTAGGACGTGTCGTTTATATGTTTGCTATAATCTCCAGATTTAAAATTCCAATTTTACAAGGGAAGGAAATGACAGCTGCAGCAAAGACTTGAAGGTAAGAAAATTGGGTTCTTGCACAGGTTGGCAAATAGATGGTAGTAGTTAAAAACAACTGGAAAATCTGGGAAAAAGGCTGAACAGGCCAGCTGCCATCACCATGGGGCTCCAAATTGGGATTGGTGTCTTTTTGTTATTCTTAAAAACGGACTGCACCTTCAACAGTAACCACAGCGGGGTATAAACTGATGGTAACAAGTAAAGCTAGATGTCAAGTTTCTGAAAGATGCCCTAATTAATTCATGAGCCATGATCCAAACTTCAAAGGAAATATAGTGATTTATTAGGAGCACCATTCCGGCAATACTCGGATGCAGTCAGGACTGATCCCACGTAGATTTACGTTCCCCTATGACCCTGTCTCTCCCCTCCTCTCTGGCCTTGTCATAAATCACATTCTCCAATTACCCACTTTGGCTGGCTGTGAAACCTAACACCCTCCTTCTGATTGCGGTCAGAAAGAATGTATGGAATTCACTTCAGTTCTCCCTCCTCCTGCTCATGGCAACTTGAAAGCTTTGCAAGTTGACACTAGAGGTCTATGGAGATTCTCAGTCATCCAGGTCATAGTTCTCTCTTTAAAGGCAACTAAAGGAGAAGGAGAAGAGGAAGAGGAAGAAGAAGGGGAAGAGGAGGAGGAGGAGGAGGAGGAGGAGGAGGAGGAGGAGGAGGAGGAGGAGGAGGAGGAGGAGGAGGAGGAGGAGGAGGAGAGGAAGAGGAGAAGAAGAAGAAGAAGAAGAAGAAGAAGAAGAAGAAGAGAAGAAGAAGAAGAAGAAGAAGAAGAGAGAAGAAGAAGAAGAAGAAGAAGAAGAGAGAAGAAGAGAAGAAGAAGAAAGCTTCATCACTTGTCAATGGATGGTGGGGATATGGAAGGGTAGGTACTGACAGTTGAGGCTGGATGGTGGGGCGATGGAAGGATAGGTTCTTACAGGATGGGTGGGGGGGAATGTAAGGATTGTATTTCTTTGCAGTCATCTAGTCATTACACAGAGGGGCAGGAATAGGACACCCCCTATCTCCTGCCTGCAACGCAGCCCTTTCAGCAGTTCCAGGAAGATTCCACCCCTGATTCCGATGACCCTGAGGGCACCCAAGGGGCCTCAAAAGCTCTCAGAGAATCTGCGAATAACTAGATGACTACAAAGAAATACAATCCTTACATTCCCTACCACCACCGCCATCCAGTCACAACTGATGAAGCTTCTTGGATGAGAAGCGAAACATCTTCCTCCTCCTCAAACAACGCTCCAGTTGCCTTTTTTGGGGGGCGGGGGGGGGGAAGCACCTTTGAGATAGTAAAACTAGAGGTCTTCAGGTTTTCAACAAACTGACACTGAAAAAAATATGCAATGCCAGAATTATACCGGGGTGAAAAACAACCTAAAATCGATATATAAACCCATAAAGGAGAATATTTGCAGCTCAGGGTTGAAACGAAGGATCCTTGGTGCTCTCTGAACTTGGTTGTGTTTGTTAGGAAATGATTATTACCTAACTTGTTGGGTTGGCAATATATAAACCATGAATATAGCTTTAAGACTGCTGTATTGCATCATACTGTGTCCTGATTGGTTAGCTCTGTAGCCAATGTCCTTAAAAGGGAGCTAGAAACATGGTTTGTCTCTCTCTTTGATGCTCTTTGCTGTGTTTGCTACTGTTTGCAACTGTTTAGCGTGTATGACTACAACGACTGGTAAGAAGACTCTGTTATTGGATTATCCCTGGACTATGGTTTAACCATCTACTGCTTTATACGTGAACGACCTGGACTGTTTATTGGACTGTGCCTTATTACTATTTCCTGAAAGTAAACACAACTCAGTGTATCTGTGTGTTGGCTGTGTTATTTCCTAACTACTCTCAATCGCTTTTCATGTGCATACCCTTGCTACTCAAGGGTTGCTCTGCGAATTCCTCAACAGTGTTCTTACAGATGTTTCACTACCCAAATTAGGTCACATCCTCAGCACTGAAACGCCTGCAAGAAAACAACCAAGCTCAGAGAGCACCAAGGACCCCTCGAGATATACATACATATGTATGCATACATGTATGTATGTGTGTGTGTATATATATATATATATATAGGGTATATATATATAGGGTATGTAAAGGTATAGTATCTCTACCAGGAAAACCTGGCTAGAAGAAAAAACACACATAAACCCTACGAAAAAGTAAGAAAATAGATACTATACCTTTACAGGGAGGATACATAAGATGTGGGTGTGGCCTACTGATGAAAGCAAACAAGCTAGAAATAGATCTATATAGGTCTCCCACCTAGCACCTTCTGCTAGAAAGGAAAAAAGCCCAGAATCGAGTGGATGTGATTCTACTGAGCTGGGGAGAAATATTTGCACCTGACAGTTTTTTGGGGTAACTTGCTTGCCTTGGCAAGCCGTATGCTGAGAGGCCTCTTGGAGGCTTCTCTCTTGGTGAAGAACTGAAGCAGAACCTTCAATTCTCTCTCCAACCTTCTTCATTTAACGGTGCAAAAACCTCCTTAGGGTGGCAGGATTGGCTGAATAAACAACGAGGGAGGGAATTGGGGAATCCTTCTGCTCTTTCTGCAAAGACAGCTACGACTGGCGGGGATCTCAGCTATTTCCCCATCAGGAGTGGGGACGGGGACGCCTTTCCACAGCCTGTTGCCTAGAAATTAACGCAACCTCCCTTCTAATTAAAAAAAGGATGTAAAGCTGCCTTCAGAATGTGCCAAGGAAAAGTCCATGCCAAAAGGTAGGCTGTTTGCAGGGAAACAGATGCCTCCTAAGAAGCAAGTGATATTTTATTTATCATTTATTCATGCTTCGGGTTGGTGAGTAGACATGTTGGAAAAAAAACCAGGGGGAGGGTATTGCTTTTTTTCTCCCTTCCCATTTTGACAGTTTGTTTCTGAATTTTTTCCCAAGAAATTAGAAAAATGAAATAAGCTGTAAAAAAAGCCTTGGTGGCGCAGCGGACCAAACTGCTGTTAAAGTAGCACTTAGCTGCCAGCTGCCTGCAATTACTGCGAGTTCAATTCTCAACAGGCTCAAGGTTGACTCAGCCTTCCATCCTTTCGAGGTAGGTGAAATGAGGACCCGGTTTGTGGGGGCAATAAGCTGACTTTGTATAAAATAGAACACCGCTCAGGGCCCCCTCCAAAAAAAGCCCTACTGAACAGGTGTATACAAAAGTATGAAGGCTATTGCTTAATGCATTGTAAGCCGCCCTGAGTTTCCGGAGAAGGGCGGCATATAAATTGAACTAATAAATAAATAAAATAAATAAATAAATTGCTAGGGTGCAAAAGTGTCCGATTTTAGAGTTCACAGTATTCCCTCCGAATTAAGAAATAAATGAATATTTTATATCACAATAATGGGGGGACATTCTGCTTCCAGAAAGCCATAAAAATGAAGAAAGGATAAAATAAGAGATCAGCTGCAATGGAATCCACTGATCGGATTCAGAACATGATTGATTAGACACTCGATTAATGTATCAAAATGGGTGTGCCGCATTATTTTCTGTCCTGTTTTTCTGAACCTAGATACATTTTATATTTAAAGTACAGGCAGAAATGTCCGGAATATACACTTTTCCCCTTACTATCAAGTTGGTGGATAAATTTTTGCGTGTGCCAGTTTTAACTAAACAGACCAAAATAAAAAGATGTTATAGTCCGTAGAGTTTGACAGACCCGTTTACTATAAAAACTAAACCTTTGATGTAAATTAAATCACTGCCATTTGTTATTATCCTGTGAATAAAAGCCATTATTCAACTGCATACACCAAAGACACATTTATGAAGAAATTAAGTGTTCATTCACATTTCATTAACAATAAAGCTGCAATTGTAAAAGGTTTTAAACAATAAATATGCCTCCATTTCCCCCCAAATTCTACTTACTTTTAAAGCGGGAAGGCAGACGACAATAATAATAATAATAATAATAATAATAATAATAATAATAATAATAATGTCTTTCCCACAGCTTCAAAATTTGCAGAAATGTTATGCTGAGAAGATGAACATACCTTGAAGCAAGGTAGCAAAACCTACTGAACTACCTTAGTGCACGAGTGACAGTTACCTGGATGTGTCCTTTTGGTAAATGATCAGGATTCCCAAGAAGATATATTGAAGTTCTTCCAGACTTCCCTTCCTGGTAGTGTAATTCTACAATCCTTGCCAACAGGTGAGGAAATTTCAAAAGGTGCGCAAATAAACGTATCGCCATGAGTTATTGGCATCTAGAAGAATTATTTACCTGCGACAGGGAGGTCCATCTTTGCTCGTTTCAGTTCTGCCATGGAGCTCTGGAGCTGTTCTATTACAAAATCATCATCATAGAAGAAATCTTTGGCAAGAGCCTCCTGAAGAAACTGGACCAGTTCTTCCATCTGCAATTTCACCAGGTGTTCTAAAGTGGCATGGGAGAAGGGGAAAAAAGGCACTCTATAGGTAGTCCTCAACTTACAACCATTCTTTTAGCGGCCAAAGTTACAATGGCACTTATGACCGTTTTTCACACTTGTGACCCTTGCAGCGTCCCCATAATGTGATCAAAATTTGGATGCTTGGCAACTGACATGTACTCATGACGGCTGCAATCCCTGGGTCACGTGATTGCTTTTTGCGACCTTCTCATGAGCAAAGTCAACGGGGAAGCCAAACATTAGTAACAAATTTTACTAACAATTTTTAAATCTAACTTAACAGTTGCAGTGATTCACTGAACAAGAGCCTTGGTAGTACAGGAGTTTAAGGCACCCTGTTATTAAGCTTATTAAGACCAGCTGCCTGCAATTACTGCAGGGTTCGAATCTCGCCAAGGCTCAGGTTGACTCAGCCTTCCATCCTTTCTAAGGTAGGTGAAATGAGGACCCAGTTTGTGGGGGCAATAAGCTGACTTTGTATAAATATACAAAAGGATGAAGGCTATTGCTGAGCACATTGTAAGCCGCCCTGAGTCTCCGGAGAAGGGCGGCATATAAATCAAATTAAAAAAAAACAAAAAAACAGCAGGGGCAAGAAAGGTTGTAAAATTGGGCAAAAAAATCACTTAACAACTGTCTCGCTTAGCAACAGAAATTTTGGGCTCAGTTGTGGTTTCTGAACAGCGACTTTATATTGGGAGTTTTCAGCTACTCTGGAGTCTTTGGTGTTCTCTGAGCTTGGCTGTTTTCTTGCAGATGTTTCACTGCCAAGCTGTGTGCACTGATGATGTTACTTAGTTTGGTAATGAAATGTCTGTAAGAAAGCAACCAAGCTCAGAGAACACCAAGGATTTCATAGTTCAAGCCTGAGCTACAAATAATCTCTTCTATCCATGGTAGCGCAGTGGTTAGAGTGCAGTACTGCAGGCTACTTCTGCTGCCTGTCGGCTGCCTGCAATCTGGCAGTTCGAATCTCATGAGGCTCAAGGTTGACTCAGCCTCCCATCCTTCTGAGGTTCGTGAAATAAGGACCCAGATTGTTGGGGGCAATAGGCTGACTCTGTAAAACCGCTTAGAAAGGACTGTAAAGTACTGTAAAGTGGTATATAAATCTAAGTGCCTGGAGGAACGCTGTCCATGAGGTCGCGATGGGTCGGACACAACTTCGCAACTAACAACAACAAGTCTAAGTCAGGGGTGAAATCCAGCAGGTTCTAACAGGTTCTGGAGAACCAGTAGCGAAAATTTTGAGTAGTTCAGCGAACCGGCAAATACCACCTCTGGCTGGCCCCAGAGTGGGTTGGAAATGGAGATTTTACAGTATCCTTCCCCTGGAGTGGGGTGGGAATGGAGATTTTGCAATATCCTTCCCTTGCCACGCCCACCAAGCCACGCCCACAAAACCGGTAGGGAAAAATTTCGGATTTCACCCCTGGTCTAAGTGCTATTGCTATCACTTTTCAGCCAGCTAGAAATAAGTCTGGTCATCCCCACGTCTGGTCACTCAAAACAAAGACTGACCATGTCAGGTGGCCAGAGAGCATTTAAAGCCAAGGCAAAGCTCTTACTTCTGTGCAGTTTCAGAATGGTGTAGGCCATTGCAGTAAGAACTCGCTCTCCTTCAAGTATGTAGACGTCCCAGATCCTGAGGGTTAACCTAAAGGGAGTCTGCAATGAAAGAACCATAGGGACGTATCAGCAGATAAAGAAACATCCATCTCTGACCCACAGGGTGTTCTCCCCCAGCTCCGGATTCCCAAGGATTGTGACACACACCAACGGTCCTTATCAAAGTTATAACGTATCAAGAATAAACAAAGTCCGGCAAAGGTTGGCAACCAGTCCAGAAAACAAGATACGATAAGACACTCACTCTCCAAAATGCTCTGTAATAATTACACGTTGTTTCCAGCAAGAAATTACTAGCTGCGTGCGACTTAAATAGCCTAAGGGAGTGGCCAATTATCCTCAAACCTTACTCTCGAGGAGACCTCCTCCTCCTGAGTAGCCACTTCTGCCTTTTGGCAGCCCTGCGTGCTCGAGCATTGAGGAGAGGCTCCTCCACTTCGCTCTCTCCACTTGAAGGAGCCTCTGGAGGTTCTGAAGGCCCAGGCCGAGTCTCTGCCTCTGGCACCACATCCTCTTCAGCCTCCTCGCTGTCCGACGCGAGCGCTGGCTGCGCAGGCTGCTGGCGCGACCCCATACCAGCCTCCTCGTCGTTGGGATCAGCCACGATCCGCGCAGGCCGCTGACGGGCCACAACAGAGGACCAGCTGATAATGAAAACAACAGCTAAGGCTACTCACACGGTCAAGGAAACACTGGAAAAACCACTTCATTGTGTAAAAGCTGGTGTTGACCTCCTGGGAATCCTGCCAAGAAGACAACACAGTTCACCCATTTTAGAAGATAAAATTGGCACAGAGCAGAATGCAAATGTGGAGTCAAATGCACAAGTGTATCCGGAGTGTATTTCTCCCTCTCAGAGCTTCGCTTCCAGACCCTTGTGTGCATAACTACAGGAAGTCCTCGACTTACAACAGTCCGTTCAAACTTAACAACGGCACCGGGAAAAGTGACTCATGACCATTTTTTTACACTTAATAACTATTGCAGCATCCACATGGTCAAAATTCAGATGCTTGGCAACGGATTCATATTTATGACGGCTGCACTTGCCCTGGGGTTATGTGATCCCCTTCGGACCAAGCCAAGTCAATGGGGGAAGCCAGATTCACTTAACAACCTTGTTACTAACATGACAACTGCAGTGATTCACTTAACTACGGTGGCAAGAAAGGTCGTAAAATGGGACAAAAACTCACTTAATAAATGTCACGCTCAACAACAGAAATGTTGGGCTCAATTGTGGTTGTAAGTCGAGGACTACCTATACTAATAGACTTCTTGGAAGTTTTTTTCTTGGCGGCATTCAATACCACCAACTATGCTAGATCCCAAGGTGATTAACTGGCAAATCAACCCCTTTATGGATAACTCTACTGACAGAGGTGTTGGGAAACCACTGTTTAGGTTCTAGACGTGTACTTTGTCTCAGTGATGAAATGTAAAATTTGATACTACCGGTTCTGTGGGCGTGGCTTGCTGGTGGTGGGGTAATATGACTGAGTGGGCGTGGCCAACTTTTTTTTTAAAAAACTTTTAAAACCATTTTTCCTACAACTGAAGAGGTTGTGAAAAAATGCTTTTAAAGCCTCTGACGATCCCAGCTGACTTGCCTGATTGGCAGAGGCTTTCTTTTTTTTTAAAAAAAAAGCCTCTGATGATCCCAGCTGAGCCGTGCAATCATCAGAGGCTTTTTTTTTTTTTTTACTTTTAAAAGCATTTTTTCTATAACCTCCTTGGCTGAAAAAAAATACTTTTAAAAATAAAAAAAAAAGCCTCTGATGATCGCGTGGCTCAGCTGGGCAATGTGGGGGGGCGGGCAGAGATTTTTGCTACCGGTTCTCCGAACCACCTGCCTCCATCGTTACTGGATCGGGTGATCCGATCCGAACCGGGAGCATTTCACCCCCGCTTTGTCTCCAGGGTGTTTAGAGCAGGGGGGCCCCAACCCCCGGGCTCACACAAGCAAGCCAAGCTTCATCTGCACATGTGCATGATCTAAGTAGCACATGAACACCTTCCCCCCTGGTTCCCAAAAGGTTGGAGTCCACTAGCTTAGAGTGTTTTATCTCATATCTCTTATATCTCATCTCTCTCTCCCTCCCTCCCTCCTCCTCTCTTTTTTTTTCTCTCTCTCCCCCCCTTCTCTCTCTCTCTCTCTCTCTCTCTCTCTCTCTCTCTCTCTCTCTCTCTCTCACTGTATACAGCCGTTGCTATATACAGTGTGATATTTACTAAAGTATTTTGCCAATATTTTTTACCTAAGGCTGAGAGAATAAAGACACAGAATGGACACAACATGATCAAAAAAGACTATTCCAGGTTTGCAAAGGAATGTGACAAGACTGAATACTCTCCTCTTATTTATTCAACCTATGTGCTGGATTATACACTAAGGGAAGGTGAGTATGGTTTCAAAGCACAGTGGGAAAAAAAATTGGACTTTAATTAAAAAGACCAAACTAATGACTACAGGTAAAACAACCAGCCTTAGGATAGATAATGAAGATTTCAGAGTGGTAGATTGCTTCTGCTATTTTAGGATCAACCATCCACAGTAAAGGAACATGCAATCAAGAAATATGCCACAGGGTAGCACTTGGTAGAGTAGCCATGAAAAGACCTTGAAAAGTTATTCAGATCCCATGATGTGTCTACGACTATAAAGATTAGAATCGTGCAAGCTGTGGTATTTCCTGTGACACTCTATGGAAGCGAAAGTTAAATGAAAATTAAATGCCAAAGAAATTTCATCTGTGAACCGTCCCCTTGATCAACACATTCATTCGTGTTGGCATTTACTTACAAAATGTTGCTTAAGTTTGGATAAATATTTCTTCATTATTTTGTCATGATGCTCTTGAAACCTCAACAGCTTAGGAAAACCAGGAATAAAAAACCCTAAAATTGGGGAAAGTAGGGGAGGGAAGAGAGAGGTCATCATGAATAAGCATCTATCTATCTATCTATCTATCTATCTATCTATCTATCTATCTATCTTCTACTTATTTCTTTCACCATAAGGCGACACTGCATCCTGCAGTAACCTAATAAGTAATGTCAAATAAAAAATATACCACTTAAATAAGATTATTAATCTATACCTAGGTCAGTGATGGCTAATTTTGCCATTGCATGCCAAAAGTGGGAGGAGAGTGCGGGGGTCATGTGCGCGCATGCCGACACCCATTATTCTATGCGCTCCCCCACGCATGTGTGCAACCCCCCCATGCTCCCCCCGCTTTTGGCCCGTGATGGCACAGTGGGCCCGGTAAATCCGTTTTTCACTCTCCCCAGGCTCCAGAGCCTTTCTAGAAGCCTGGGGAGGGTGAAAATGGCCTCCCCCCCCCCCCCCCGGAGGCCCTCCGGAGGCTGGAAATGGCCTGTTTGCCGACTGGTGGGCCCAGAAGGCCTGAAAATCAGCATGCCAGAGCTGAGCTTGTGTGCCCACCGATATCGCTCCACGTGCCACCTGCGGCACGCGTGCCATAGTTTCACCATCACGGACCTAGGTAATGAAGCATCCAAATCTGAGCTATAACAATGGGAAAGATGAAAAAGAAAGGGAAAGTGGAAGGAAACAGAAAAGGATGAGCAGTAGCAAGGTGAAGTGTCTCAATTATAGTAGTGAAAGTTGCTTTGCTAGAGGACTTGAACGCTAAGACGGGGACAGACCATCCTGAACAAGGTCTAGTTATGTAGTCACTAAGAGCTGACCTCAATTTGATGGTATATGATCAATCATTCTAGGTTTAATGCAGCTGGCCCCGTTCAGTATCTTTTGGAAGCATGTTATATGAACCGGACCACTGCATGAAGCCATACAGATAGTCCTCAACTTATAACCATAATAGAGACTGCCCATTATGGTTGTAAATCACGACAGTGGTAAAGCAGGTCATCACCTAACCAGACCCAATTTTACCACTTTTTCTATGCCTCTTGTTAAGCGAATGTTAAGATCATTCAGCAAACTCATTGTTCACTATAGGGTATTTTTTGCTGAAAACCAGAAGTAAAGATCTGTTTTTCAGCAAAAACGTCAAAATCGGACTCGTGACTGTAAGACACTGCCAAAAGCCATAAATTGGGCTGGTTGCTGAGCCCCTGAAATGTAGTCACACAATCCGTGTGTGTGTGTGTGTGTGTGTGTGGGGAGGGAGGAGATCGTCAGAATTTTGTAAGTACTTTTTGGAGATCCATTGAAACTTTCAACAGTCACTAAGCAACCAGTTGTAAATCAAGGACTACCTGTAATACCATTTGTCTCAGCTCTTTGTGATACCCATAATATCTTTGACTTGTCAACTTGGTTTAGGACCGTGGTGTGAACCCAACCGTAACGTTGCAGAACTGAAAAGTAAAATCCTAAATGTAATTTAAAAAAAAAAGGGGGGGCGGGGTGTTTGCTAAAAGGGTTTAATGTGAAGAGGCCAGCTTAGCTATCATGACATTGAGTGAAACTTCAGACACCTACCATGCATAGCATGCCTGGGCCCCGAGAGCAGTTTCACCAAAGCCCAGAAAGCATCTTCTTCATTCATGTACATTAGGAGCAATGCGGTGATGTGGCTCATCCCTTGACAGTATCCAACCTCCTGGGAAAAAGCAGACAAAACCGTTACAAAATTTGTGTACGCATGCAAACAAACCCTAAAGCAATCGCACTCACTTTTTCGGTAGCAAGGGTAGACGGAGTGTGAATTATGAGATGTTTGGAGGAAGGATACCCCTGAGGATTAGTTCTCTGTCTGACTTTGCACAGAGAACTGAAAAGGAAAGCGAGACTGGTATAACTAGAGCTTCTACAGGACAAGCTATCATGATCTAATTTTTTATCCTGAAGATGTGGAGGGGCCTCCTAAGGCAGTGTTTCTTAACCTTGGCTAGTTAAGAGCATGTTGGCTGTGGAATTCTGGGAGTTGAAGTCCATGTATCTTAAAGGAGTCAAGGTCGAGAAACACTGCCCTAAGGAAATGTTGACTATAAAGTTAGAAGAGGACAAAGGAGTCTTTTCTTTCCATTTTCTGCACTTTGGCCTGTTGTTATTCCACATCTTTAGCTTATTTCATCTTTAGCTCCTCTCCCCTGATTAGATAACCAGATGAACCCTGATGATGAAATTCTAGTTAGTACAAAACAGCCTTCAAGGCAGAAAATTTGTACTGTCAGAAGGAAGTCAGGGCAAAACCTCTAATTAAATTTCTCTCCTTTCAAACGGATTCATTTGAACAAAGAATTTGGACCTAGCCTGAAATGTCCATATTAATTTAGTCCAACCTATTCCCCAAACTGAGACTATACCATCGTTTAGAGTTTATGCTACCTTAAAGAGTTTTGTTGTGAGTTTCATGGAACTCAATCTGACATTTCTGAGTAGGAAGCCACAGAATTATACATAAAGCAAACAAGTTATGGATTTTAGCCCACTAATAGAGTTTGGTTTATCCTAGTATTGGTACTAAAGAATTCACTTGTTCAGCTCAATAGATTAAAATGGCTACCCCTCTTCAATTCTTTCATATCAGAGGTAAGAAAGAGACCACTGTTGTCTTTTCAGGAACGTTTGTAACTTTCTGTTCCAAAATTCCAGAACTATTTCTTGTATGTGACCCAGCTCGGTAACGCTGGGTCACATACAAGAAATAGTTAACAAGAAATTAACATACAAGAAATTTATTAAGCATAACATGTAGCAAATTATTGGCTGAGTGAACTTATTCACCACTTTTTTTTACAGTTTCTGATCTTAATGGTTCCAGGAAAGCATTTGCAAAACAGATGCTTTGATAGCATCGGGCCAAGAATCGGAAGTATTTTCTTTTTACCCGTTGGGCCAAACAATCCAATACAGAATCACGCCTCTTCAAACTCGCCGTTTCCATGTTGCCCTTGAGAATTCTATTTCCATGAATTCAATATCGTTTAAGAGTGACCTATGTAACTGACTGTGAATAGATGCAAAGAAGCATGCACAGACCAGAGCATCTTACCGTATTATAAACAGAATATGCAGCTAAGACATGGAACAAAGATTGTTGCCTAGGAGGGGGAAAAAAAAAAAAAAAAAGACAGAATGTAACTATACAAAATCAAAATGTTGTTTTGGAGCCACATTACAGGAAAAATTACTTGTGATGTAAAATGTTGCTGGCTTAATTTCATATCAGTCCTATTTTGTACGTCTGTATAACCTTGCACAGTGGTTATAACTGTATAACCCTGCACACTGAAAGCAGGTTACTATTTACAAAGATCAGCTATCTATCGTGTGTGTGTGTGTGTGTGTGTGAGATAAAAGCAAGTACAACGGTGTTCCATTATATGATAAAATATTTACAAAAGCTCTCTTTGAAGGGAAAAAAAGACCAAGTAGGGTGTTGTCTATCTGGAAAAGAGCTCTGTTACAACCAAAGAAACCGAGCATTGAAGGAAAGGGACTGTTGTAGAGAAACATATTCAAGTTACAAAATGTAATATGGTATTTTGTAAAAATACAATGAAACCTGGACACCTGGGGTACATGTTTCTAGCTTGCCCTTCCCTTCATTCTCATCCACATTTTAGCCCCAATCTGAATTTTGGCTCCAGGGAGTAGGCTAAATCCTCACCACTTTATTTTTTACCCCATCTTTATTGTTTTTACAAATAAGGCAGCAAATATATTCAACACACCTTCCTCTTGCTATTTTCCCCACAACAATCCTGTGAGGTGAACTGGGTTGAGAGAGAGTGGCTGGCCCAAAATCACCCAGTTGGCTTTGATGCCTAAGGCAGGACTAGAACTCACCATCTCCTGGTGATTGGCTCAAGGTCACTCAGCTGGTTCTCCTGCCTAAGGCAGGAGTCGAACTGATGGTCTCCTACTTTCCAGCCTGGTGCCTTAACCACTAGACCAAATTTCTTTTGACTTTCTTTCCCATTTACTAACTTGGTTTCCTTATCTTTACAACAGAATTCCTTCCTCTCTTGTGCATAGATACAGTCACTCTGGCTACGTAACAACAACATCTGAAGTTGAAATTTTGACATCCTCGTCGTCTTCCTCTTCCTCCTGACAAAATGTATGGACGCTTGCCAGAGAAAACATACCATCTTCTACACTCTCTGCAATCCAAGAGAGGCACCCACCGAAGAGGAAACAGTACAGGTAGTCTTCGAGTTATGAATGTAACTGAGCCCCACAATTATGGTTATAAATCGTGATGGTTGTAAAGCAAGTCACAATGTGACTGGGCCTGATTTTACAACCTTTTTTTTTTTTTTTTGCAGCAGTCGTAAAGCAAATGCCACGGTTGTTAAGTGAACACATTGTTCATGATGGGACGGGTTTTTGCAGAAACTGGAAGTAAACGCCAGTTTCCAGCAAAAACATAAAGTTGTGATCGTGTAATCACTACAATGCTACAAACCAACCACTTAAACTGTGGTCATGTGCCTGTGGGGTTGTGGGCAGATGTTAGCACTTCGAATTCAAATCCTAAGTCCCATTTTAGCGATCCACTGTTAACTGCCAGTCGTAAGTCGAGGACTACCTATAACTGGGGGACTTTTTGGTGGTCCCCTCCTTCTTGTATACTCTGTCCTTGAAAGTTGGGATGGCTCCTTTCCTGTTAATCATCAGGAGCAGTTACAATGCTGCTCTTCCAGTGCCTTTGAGGAATAATTGTTATTGTTATAAGTCGTGAGAGCTATCTGACGAGTTTTATTGTGAACATTTTCTCAAGTTGTTACGCCTCTTGTTGCCGATTATCAATCTGTCGGTTTGATCACAGTTGTTCTTGTCTTGTTTACTGTATTGAGCCATTCAAACAGAAATTGGGTAAACAAACCAATCAGGGGAAATGCAATTTATTTATTTTTTTAAAAAAAACCAGAGCTTCGCTCGCATACAGCTCTAGTCATAAGAGGTTGCAATGCTAACCCCATGACACAGTATTTCATCTTAATCGTCTCAAAGGGAAGGAAAAAAACCATGTTCAGAAATTAGAACAGGCAATTTAGATGTATCTAAGAGCTTGGATAATGTTCAGTGGAATTACTGGCATTTTATTTTTCCATGATGCTATTTCACTAACTGTTCTGATAATTCTCCTGAGGTTAAAAAATGTTTTGTTTTGTTTTTAAAAAAAACAACGATCTGCAATTTAATCTGCTCATTTCTCAGAGAGGGAGTACAACTGTCTAAAATAATCACAATCCAAAATCTACTTAGAACACTCTCACAACTAACTAAACAATAATTTTGTTGGTTCGGTTTTTGCAAAAGGGAGCTTGGGGCAATACTTCATAGTAAACACAAGCTGACTGTAATACTTAAGAAGGCATTTGCAACCTGGTGCCCTTCTGGTGCTTCGGATCTACAACTCACAACACTGGTGGTGAATCTGGAGAGTTGTGATCAGTGGTGAAATCTAAAATTTGTTACTACCGGTTCTGTGGGCGTGGCTTGGTGTGTGTGTGTGTGTGGGGGGGTAAATTGACTGGGTGGGCGTGGCCAACTTTTTTTTTTTTAACTTTTAAAAGCATTTTTTCTACAACCTCTTTGGCTGAAGAGGTTGTAGAAAAAATGCTTTTAAAAGCCTCTGACGATCCCAGCTGAGCCGCGTGATCATCAGAGGCTTTTTTTTTTACTTTTAAAAGCATTTTTTTGGCCGAAGAGGTTGTAGAAAAAATGCTTTTAAAATTTTTTAAAAAGCCTCTGATGATCACGCGGCTCAGCTGGGCATGGGAGGGCAGGGATTTTTGCTACCGGTTTTCCGAACCACCTGCCTCCATCGCTACCGGATCAGATGATCCGGTCCAAACCGGGAGCATTTCACCCCTGGCTGTAATCCTATTGTATCTGTAACTGGCTCTCATAATTTCCAAATATATTTAACCTAAAAAAATACTGAAAGAATACTGAATTTTCTTCATATGTATCTATATAGCTATGGGAGGCTACCAAATATCATTTTTGGATTAATAATTGGAATTCTTTCAAAGCTAATCCTAGCAGGTATCTGAATATGGCAATTTTGGAACACTTTCGTTCAAGATAGTTTAGTGTTTCTTTCTGGCATTTTAAAATGCAGGGTAAGAGTTTTTTAAAATTTGCTTGGACCATTTCAAAACATGCAGCATTCAGGATTTAATATGGGAACACATGCCTCTGTTTCAATGTTAAAATGTTCCTATTTAAAAAAAACTTAAAACTCTTTTCTAGAAATCTTGCTAAGGATACTTTTCTTATGTGGATGCCAGCCTGTTAATTACAGATGAGCATGATTCTGCTTTGAATTTCAGAGCAACACATGTATTTTTGAATCCAGAACTCCTATGGCAGAGAGACAATACTGATAGAAGAAAATATCTGTAGTTCAAGGTTGAACTGTGGGGTCCTTGGTGCTCTCTGAACTCGGTATTTTCTTGCAGACGTTTCATTACCCAACTATATAACATCATCAGTGCACAAACCTCTTCAAGAAAACTACCAATCTCAAAGAGTACCAAAGATCTCACAGACAGACAATAAGCTGGAATCAAGGGGGTGGGAAGAAGTTTTGCCCTGGAAGGACAGGACTCAAAATTTTGTTACAGTAAATCTCTTGATTTAAAAAAGCAACAAGATCCACGTGAAGGGAGTCAATTCACTCACTTTACTCCGTATCTATCTCTGAACATGATGTGATCCCGATAGGTCCGATTAACATCAAGATCTATTTGCCGGATATCTGGAGAGGTTCCTCTTGCTCGAGTTTTTAAAGTCTAGGGGGAGAAAGAGAGAAACAGTCAACAAATATGTATATACACCAAGACTTCACTGCTCATTATAGCTCATCATCCTTTTCGATGACTCTCCACTTCTCACAAAGGTCATAAACCTATTTAGCTTGGGCTGAGGGAAGCAGAACAGATTTGCTCTCTTACAAAATACCTTCTTCCAACAAGAGACAGGTAGTCCTCAAATTACAACAATTCGTTTAATGACTGTTCAAAAGTTACGGCACTGAAAAAAAGTGATTTCTGACTTTTTCACACTTTATGACTGTTGCGGCATCCCCATGGTCATGCGATCAAAATTCGGACATTAGGCAACTGGTTCCTATTTATGATGGTGGCATATGACGGGGTCACATGACCCCAGTGTCCCGGGGTCATGTGATTATTTTTTGTAACCTTCTCACAAGCAAAATCAATGGGGAAGCCAGATTCACTTGTTAGTTAACTTTACAACTGCAGTGATTCATTTAACAAACATTTGGGCTCAATGGTGGTGGTAAGCCTAGGACAGGGGTCTGTCTGTAAGCTTAAACACTCAAAAAGCCATTTGGACCCGTTTCCCACAGAAAAGAAAACCCTGGGAGCCACAAAACCCTTCCCGTGCCTGACTATTTCTTGAGCTGCCACAAAACTAGCATTATGTAGTTGAATAAAATGTTCTTTGGTCGCCACGATGTAAAAAAGATGTGGAGACTCTAGAAAGAGTGCAGAGAAAAGCAACAAAGATGAATAGGGGACTGGAGGCTAAAACATATGAAGAACGGTTGCAGGAACTAGGTATGTCTAGTTTGATGAAGAGAAGGACTAGGGGAGACATGATAGCAGTGTTCCAATATCTCAGGGGCTGCCACAAAGAAGAAGGAGTCAAGCTATTCTTCAAAGCACCTGAGGGCAGGACAAGAAGCAATGGGTGGAAACTAATCAAGGAGAGAAGCAACTT